ACACACACACACGTACGTACACACACACGTACGTATATACGTATAGACACACACACACACGTATACGTACACACACACACACACGTACGTATACACACACACACACACACACACACACACGTACGTATACATACATATACACACACACACACGAAGAGTAGAGGAGGGGAGATATGTAGGACCCAGAATCCTCCGTAGTCTCTATCCACTCGCACAGCTTTCCTTCATTAAGTAATTAGCGCAATGCAGAGACTGCGGACTCCCGGAGCGTTGTTGGTGACTGGACTGGAGTTGTGGACTGCTGAGTGCGGGGCGGTGAGTGAAGAGACTGTTTGTTTTGTAGGTTATAGATGACTCGGATAGCCGGGGTTTGCTGGCAATGCTTATTTAGGCCTCAGTCACACCGCCGTACAATATGCCGCGTATGGGAGCCGTATATTCGCGCTGCGTAAAGATGCGCAGAAACCGAATGGACCCGAGATGCGTCCGGGCAACGTATTTTACGCACGTACAGTTCATGTCTATTATGAATGATGCATTGTGGGATTGCACATAGTGCACGCGTAAGTTTGCTCTTGCGTCGTGTGTGCACGGGGCCTCGGTGCTCTACCAGAGCTTGGATTTTGTAGTTTTCAATCACCTTTTTGAGTGTTCGAAGCCACTCGGTGACATAAAGAAAGACTGTTTATAGTCACAATTGCGCGCTGGCAGCCCAGAGGACCGTGTTGTTTGGCTGGACCCCAGTGTCCCGTGTGAGTGCTGCATCACAATGTATATAATGGAATCTCACTCCTCCATACTCACCAATGGTGGCCCCGGGAGATGTAAGAAATCGCCAACCATACAAGCGGTCTGTCCGCACTGTCACTGCCCCCCTCCAGGCCCGGATTTCCCACAAGCCCACCGAGGCCCGGCCTCGGGGCGGCAGCAGCGACCTTGTGGGGAAGTTGCCGGTGTGAGGTGTCCCTGAACTTCGCCCACCAGCTCCGTAGTCTGCGGCCGCACACTATGGAGCCGGTGGGCGGAGTCCCGCCGCCGGCCAATCACTCCCGCACCAATCACAATGCCGTCTGCCATACTCACCAGTGGAACAAACAATAAATGATGATGATGAGGAGGAAGGCCACGGCGCAGTGCTAGACGAAGCAGATGGGGAGAAACGCGAGGTTGCTGTGATCGCTCTGGTCCCATTGGACGCCCCATGGTGGGTACACTGCCATTGCAATCTAGAACAGAGACATCAGAATGTTGGGTTGCCCAGGCTGGGAGTGTTCATCTTCATTGCAGGACTTGTCATAGGTGGGCAAACTTCAGCCCTCCAGCCGCGGTGGAACTACAAGTCCCATGAGGCATTGCAAGACTTGGACAGCCACAGGCATGACTCCCAGAGACACGGTGGGATTTGTAGTTTCACCACAGCTGGAAGGCAGAGGTTGCCTGTTTCTGGGTTAGAACTAGGGATGCACCGATACCGATACTAGTATCGGTGCCGATACCAAGTATTTGGGTGAGTACTTGTACTCGCCCAAATGTTCCGATACCTAGCACAAGTACTTCCTGTATCAGGAAGCCGGGCAGCGCATCATTACACGCTGCCCATTTTCCTGATTGGCCAGGAAACGGCTCCATGCTCTCTCGTCACTTGTGATGAGAGAGCATGGAGCCCACTTCCCGGCCAATCAGGAAGCAGGGTAGCGTTCAATGACGCGCTGCCCGGCTTCCCGATTGGTCAGGAAGCTAGCAAATCCGGAAGCCGTGCGGCGTGTAATGACGCAGCGCCCGGCATTCTGATTGGCCGGGAAGCCGGCGTCATGCTCCCTTGTCATCTCATGAATCATAATATTAAGAAAGTGACCTTAAAGCATTAGTTTGTATTGCTTTTTAAAAATGTGACCTGTCCCTTTAAGAAAAAGTATCGGTAATTGGTATCTGCGAGTACTTGATCAGAAGTATCGGTACTCGTACTCGGTCTTAAAAAAGTGGTATCGGTGCATCCCTAGTTAGAACCTCTATCCAGTTTCTGGGAGATTCTGGCCTTTGAGAGTCAGGCCTGTGTTTGTCCGAGTCTTGCAATGCATCATGGGACTTATAGTTCCACAACAGCCGGAGTGCTGAGGTCGCCTACGCCTGTTGTAACCCTTTCCCATCCGATCCAAAATAATAAAAAAAATGGCTGCAGTTGGGCTTGAAGTTTTTCTGCATTACAAGTAATGCAGCTGGAGTAGTGAGACTCCACAGTGCGGGTGGTGACGGGGAGGACACGAGGCGTAAAAATGGCGGCTGATCTGTTTTTGGGTAATGCGGGCACCTACCTGCCAGAACCAGGATCCCTGCAGGACGGCCAGACTGGAGCGGAACAATTCCAGGACGATGTGATCTCTCAGGAAGACTTCCGCCATGAAACACAGGAATCCCGCAGAGGAGACGACCAGGAGCAGCGTGTGCAAGAGCCCCTCCACCGGCGGCTGACCGTGGACGTGAAAAGACATGAGGAGACCTGCGGAGACAACAATAGCCACTTCACTCTGCAGGCTCAGATAACACTACGGGCCCATTCACATCTCTATGCCGCCATGACACCCCATAACGCATTGTTACCTGGCCCCCAACGCACAACTACAGCCACACTCTGCGTACCACACACATGACTATCTCATCGGTTGTGTAAATACTGTACAGTCTCGTTGTATATCAGATGTTACAGCGTTTCCTGTTGCAGGCTGACGACGCTAATCCATCACCTCACAATTAGCAGCAGCGTTGTCAGCCTGCCGCGTGCACTTTGTCACTTCCTGTTCCTGTGGCCATTGGGGTTGTCTATGTGATAGACCAAAAACATTCTCCTCGCCATAAAGAGCTGCGTGTGGAGATGTGGAAGGGCTCTGCGTCTCCCTGCCCAGCTCTTAGCAACCTAAGATCCCCGCCGAGCTCCTGGCAACCAATGACGTCGTTGATGGCGGAACGCCAGTGTAATGCCGCTTAGGCCCCGTTCACACCTGACCGTTTTGTACGCTCGACGAACGCGCTACAAAACGGTCAAAAAAATAAATAGCATTGTAGTCAATGGGTCTCGTTCCCACCTCGGCGTATTTCCGCCCGTCCCTAACGCGCTACAAAACGGCCCACGCCTGAAAAGGTCCCGGGACTACTTTGGGCCGTTTTGTAGGGCGTTTTCCATTGGGATACAGCCAAGTAGCCTTTGGAATCGCGCAACTTTTTTACCGTAAAAAAAACCGCGTGACGGTCGCGCGACAGACGCGCATATTACAATACGCCTAGGTGTGAATGGGGCCTAAGGCCTTGTTCACACCAAGCGCGTTCCGGGAGCGGAGCAGTTACAGACCGGAGCAAAACTGCGGCCAATGTATTCCTAATGGTATTTTTAGCTGCAGTTCGCACCGCAGCGTCCAGTTCCAGAGCAAAAAACTGCAGCAGGCCCTATTTTACCTGCTCTGGAACGCGTTCAAACGCATCAAAGACGCATGCGAACGCACTGAAAGCCCATTTTAAACCAAAAGAAAAAAAATCCTGGAACGCATCAAAAACACGGCACAACCCACTCACTGCGTGTGCAGAAACTCGTGCAGATCTGCTCTGCATTTGGTGTGATCAAGGCGGTGTGATGCCCCTCTCCTCGCAGCATCCAAAGCTGCCTGTGACACTCTCCCAAACCACCAACAGCAGCTGGCCGCCTGTCCAATATGGCAGCCGCAGGGTGCAGTATCCTCTCCTATGGGAGGGCGCTCCGCGTCAGCTCCAACTTTAAATTGCGGATCTGCTTTAAGGTGCCCATACACTTTACAACCCTGGCAAGACTTTTGTCTTGCCAGGGTTGTAAAGTACTTTTAAAAATGTACGATCTGCCCATCTTGGACAGGCAGATCGTACTCTCGATCATCGCAAGCCCCCGCCCCCCTGAGGGGTTCCTGACAGCCAGCCAGAGCGTACCAGGTTGCTAAGAGCTGGGTGGGGAGATGCAGAGCCCTTCCACATCTTCCAGCAACCTGAGACACTCGGGCAGGCACACTGCATTATTACCCCTGTAAATGAGGTTGAACAACATGACAAGATTTTTTTTTTATCCGAAATACGAAATACGGATCCGCTGCTGCTGAGGGTCGCATTACAATACACAGGCAGGAAATACGAAATTCCATTGACGTATTTTCGTTCCGTTAGGAACATTTGTTATGATGAAGTTAAAAAGCAAAAATACCTTTGTTAATATATTGGAGTCGATGGTAGTTTTTTTTTTTTGTTTTTTTTTACGAAATTCTGATCCGATATACGTTAACGGAATTTCGGATAAAAAAAAACCAAAAAAACAATCGATTCCAATATATTAACAAAGGTATTTTTGCTTTTTAACTTCATCATAACAAATGTTCGTAAAGTTACGAAAATGTGACGAAACTAACGAAAATCCGTATTTCGTACGAATCCGAATTGAGTTTCGGACACGAAATACGGGATATTCCGAAACGAAACACATTTTTTGACGGCGCACAAGTCTAATGATAAATAAGAAATAACTTTAACAATAAAACGATCATAAAAACATCGCAAGGATGGAGGTTTGTCTGCGCTTACCTTCAAGGGACACGGCCAGCGCTAGAGTCAGGCGGTCCAGCCCCCGCGGTAACTTGAGAGGAGAATACGTCAGAATGTCCACCACTCCGGAGAGGAAGAAGAAGATGTACAGCGTGGAGTGCAGCCAACCCATCAACCCCACCCAGCTGTGATCCACAGGATTGGTGAGGTGGAAGCGAGGCCCAATATTGGGAGCAAAGTTTTCCCAAATCATCCTTGAGGAGAAGATGTCAGCGTTAGTATATCTACAATGGATCCATCGTCCTTCCAGGTCACAGCCGACGTTCTATATCCCCCGGAAACCTCCTCAGGTGAGCCTTGCATTAACTTAAAGTGACATTAAACCCTCAGATAGTGTAACATAAACCATTGGTGATTCCCCTCCGCCGCTACGGGTGTACTATCTGTACCCCATACTGCTGTCCACCACAGCCCTGCACTATGGTTGAGATTCGCTCGCAAGGTAAACGCGCTGACGATGACAAGCGCTTCTTCGCACAGTTAAACACGGTTTTTCTGGCTCTGCCTCTAGATAGGCAGAGCCAGCTGTCAATCACGCAGCTGGGCGGATCCCGGCATAATTGTCGGGATCCGCTCCGGCTGCGGCGTCTCAGTATATGGAGAGCTGCAGCTCCCTATATACTGAGCCTAGGGTGACGGGAGGACGCTAGTTTGTGTCCTCCCGTTACCCTAAGGAGTTACCTTGGTCTGTACGAAAGTAAGTTTCCGTTTCCTGTTCGTTTCCTTGGAGCTAGGGATGCACCGATACCGGTATTTTGGTACCGAGTAGGAGTACCGATACTTTTTCCCGGTACTCGCCGATACCAATTACCGAAAGCCCCATTCAGGAAGCCAGGTGGCGTGTAATGACGAGCAGCCCGGGTTCCTAATACAGGAGGTATCGGGCTAGGTACGAGTACTCGCCCAAATACTCGCTATCGGCGCATCCCTAGTTGGAGCAAAGTGACATTAAAAAAAAACATTTTTTCTTTGCTGCATTTTGCTGCAACTAAAATTTGTACAGACCACCGCTACCGAATTTCATCCGAAATTGAGTTTTTGGAAATTCGGATTCGTTTTCATTCGTCATTCGTCTGTTATTGGGAAATTCGGATACATCGAAATCGCACATTTCATGTCCAATATACAATAACCGGATCCCATCAGCGTGGTGCGCCCTGTACAATAGGAATGGATCTGATTGGTTCTTGTGGGTTGTGCTGCAGCTCGCAGTCATTTGGGTTTCTCACCGGTCGCAGCGATGAAGGCCTTGACAATCCCCTCCCCCATCTCCAGCCGCCGGTAGCGTTTCGAGTCCACTCCGCCACGCAGATATTTCAGAGGATATTTGATGGACCACCAGAGGCCGAAGATCAGGAAAGTCGTGCCCAACAGCGAGTGTCCTCGGAAGTCCCCCATCGCCGTCCCTGGGGACATCAGAGTGAGAAATGAATAGCCCAACCTACCAATGTGCCTGAAGGAAGAACTGTCTGTGCTGCCCATAGCAACCACAATCCCCCCCAAAGATTTTATAATGAAAAAGGGGGAACCTGCCAACTACGGGCAACAAAAACTTCTCCAAATATGTCACCGAGAGGAATAAGGTGACAGCAGATTTTCCTTTTTTCCTCAGTTTACCCTCCCCCAGCGATCAGTCTGCTGCAGGCAGGAGAGAGCATTTCCTCAGTCTCCTCTCCCAAAGCGAATGCTCCTTACATTGGGGGTCAGTGGGAAGAATGCTCCTTACATTGGGGGTCAGTGGGAAGAATGCCCCTTACATTGGGGGTCAGTGGGAAGAATGCCCCTTACATTGGGGGTCAGTGGGAAGAATGCCCCTTACATTGGGGGTCAGTGGGAAGAATGCCCCTTACATTGGGGGTCAGTGGGAAGAATGCCCCTTACATTGGGGGTCAGTGGGAAGAATGCCCCTTACATTGGGGGTCAGTGGGAAGAATGCCCCTTACATTGGGGGTCAGTGGGAAGAATGCCCCTTACATTGGGGGTCAGTGGGAAGAATGCCCCTTACATTGGGGGTCAGTGGGAAGAATGCCCCTTACATTGGGGGTCAGTGGGAAGAATGCCCCTTACATTGGGGGTCAGTGGGAAGAATGCCCCTTACATTGGGGGTCAGTGGGAAGAATGCCCCTTACATTGGGGGTCAGTGGGAAGAATGCCCCTTACATTGGGGGTCAGTGGGAAGAATGCCCCTTACATTGGGGGTCAGTGGGAAGAATGCCCCTTACATTGGGGGTCAGTGGGAAGAATGCCCCTTACATTGGGGGTCAGTGGGAAGAATGCCCCTTACATTGGGGGTCAGTGGGAAGAATGCCCCTTACATTGGGGGTCAGTGGGAAGAATGCCCCTTACATTGGGGGTCAGTGGGAAGAATGCCCCTTACATTGGGGGTCAGTGGGAAGAATGCCCCTTACATTGGGGGTCAGTGGGAAGAATGCCCCTTACATTGGGGGTCAGTGGGAAGAATGCCCCTTACATTGGGGGTCAGTGGGAAGAATGCCCCTTACATTGGGGGTCAGTGGGAAGAATGCCCCTTACATTGGGGGTCAGTGGGAAGAATGCCCCTTACATTGGGGGTCAGTGGGAAGAATGCCCCTTACATTGGGGGTCAGTGGGAAGAATGCCCCTTACATTGGGGGTCAGTGGGAAGAATGCCCCTTACATTGGGGGTCAGTGGGAAGAATGCCCCTTACATTGGGGGTCAGTGGGAAGAATGCCCCTTACATTGGGGGTCAGTGGGAAGAATGCCCCTTACATTGGGGGTCAGTGGGAAGAATGCCCCTTACATTGGGGGTCAGTGGGAAGAATGCCCCTTACATTGGGGGTCAGTGGGAAGAATGCCCCTTACATTGGGGGTCAGTGGGAAGAATGCCCCTTACATTGGGGGTCAGTGGGAAGAATGCCCCTTACATTGGGGGTCAGTGGGAAGAATGCCCCTTACATTGGGGGTCAGTGGGAAGAATGCCCCTTACATTGGGGGTCAGTGGGAAGAATGCCCCTTACATTGGGGGTCAGTGGGAAGAATGCCCCTTACATTGGGGGTCAGTGGGAAGAATGCCCCTTACATTGGGGGTCAGTGGGAAGAATGCCCCTTACATTGGGGGTCAGTGGGAAGAATGCCCCTTACATTGGGGGTCAGTGGGAAGAATGCCCCTTACATTGGGGGTCAGTGGGAAGAATGCCCCTTACATTGGGGGTCAGTGGGAAGAATGCCCCTTACATTGGGGGTCAGTGGGAAGAATGCCCCTTACATTGGGGGTCAGTGGGAAGAATGCCCCTTACATTGGGGGTCAGTGGGAAGAATGCCCCTTACATTGGGGGTCAGTGGGAAGAATGCCCCTTACATTGGGGGTCAGTGGGAAGAATGCCCCTTACATTGGGGGTCAGTGGGAAGAATGCCCCTTACATTGGGGGTCAGTGGGAAGAATGCCCCTTACATTGGGGGTCAGTGGGAAGAATGCCCCTTACATTGGGGGTCAGTGGGAAGAATGCCCCTTACATTGGGGGTCAGTGGGAAGAATGCCCCTTACATTGGGGGTCAGTGGGAAGAATGCCCCTTACATTGGGGGTCAGTGGGAAGAATGCCCCTTACATTGGGGGTCAGTGGGAAGAATGCCCCTTACATTGGGGGTCAGTGGGAAGAATGCCCCTTACATTGGGGGTCAGTGGGAAGAATGCCCCTTACATTGGGGGTCAGTGGGAAGAATGCCCCTTACATTGGGGGTCAGTGGGAAGAATGCCCCTTACATTGGGGGTCAGTGGGAAGAATGCCCCTTACATTGGGGGTCAGTGGGAAGAATGCCCCTTACATTGGGGGTCAGTGGGAAGAATGCCCCTTACATTGGGGGTCAGTGGGAAGAATGCCCCTTACATTGGGGGTCAGTGGGAAGAATGCCCCTTACATTGGGGGTCAGTGGGAAGAATGCCCCTTACATTGGGGGTCAGTGGGAAGAATGCCCCTTACATTGGGGGTCAGTGGGAAGAATGCCCCTTACATTGGGGGTCAGTGGGAAGAATGCCCCTTACATTGGGGGTCAGTGGGAAGAATGCCCCTTACATTGGGGGTCAGTGGGAAGAATGCCCCTTACATTGGGGGTCAGTGGGAAGAATGCCCCTTACATTGGGGGTCAGTGGGAAGAATGCCCCTTACATTGGGGGTCAGTGGGAAGAATGCCCCTTACATTGGGGGTCAGTGGGAAGAATGCCCCTTACATTGGGGGTCAGTGGGAAGAATGCCCCTTACATTGGGGGTCAGTGGGAAGAATGCCCCTTACATTGGGGGTCAGTGGGAAGAATGCCCCTTACATTGGGGGTCAGTGGGAAGAATGCCCCTTACATTGGGGGTCAGTGGGAAGAATGCCCCTTACATTGGGGGTCAGTGGGAAGAATGCCCCTTACATTGGGGGTCAGTGGGAAGAATGCCCCTTACATTGGGGGTCAGTGGGAAGAATGCCCCTTACATTGGGGGTCAGTGGGAAGAATGCCCCTTACATTGGGGGTCAGTGGGAAGAATGCCCCTTACATTGGGGGTCAGTGGGAAGAATGCCCCTTACATTGGGGGTCAGTGGGAAGAATGCCCCTTACATTGGGGGTCAGTGGGAAGAATGCCCCTTACATTGGGGGTCAGTGGGAAGAATGCCCCTTACATTGGGGGTCAGTGGGAAGAATGCCCCTTACATTGGGGGTCAGTGGGAAGAATGCCCCTTACATTGGGGGTCAGTGGGAAGAATGCCCCTTACATTGGGGGTCAGTGGGAAGAATGCCCCTTACATTGGGGGTCAGTGGGAAGAATGCCCCTTACATTGGGGGTCAGTGGGAAGAATGCCCCTTACATTGGGGGTCAGTGGGAAGAATGCCCCTTACATTGGGGGTCAGTGGGAAGAATGCCCCTTACATTGGGGGTCAGTGGGAAGAATGCCCCTTACATTGGGGGTCAGTGGGAAGAATGCCCCTTACATTGGGGGTCAGTGGGAAGAATGCCCCTTACATTGGGGGTCAGTGGGAAGAATGCCCCTTACATTGGGGGTCAGTGGGAAGAATGCCCCTTACATTGGGGGTCAGTGGGAAGAATGCCCCTTACATTGGGGGTCAGTGGGAAGAATGCCCCTTACATTGGGGGTCAGTGGGAAGAATGCCCCTTACATTGGGGGTCAGTGGGAAGAATGCCCCTTACATTGGGGGTCAGTGGGAAGAATGCCCCTTACATTGGGGGTCAGTGGGAAGAATGCCCCTTACATTGGGGGTCAGTGGGAAGAATGCCCCTTACATTGGGGGTCAGTGGGAAGAATGCCCCTTACATTGGGGGTCAGTGGGAAGAATGCCCCTTACATTGGGGGTCAGTGGGAAGAATGCCCCTTACATTGGGGGTCAGTGGGAAGAATGCCCCTTACATTGGGGGTCAGTGGGAAGAATGCCCCTTACATTGGGGGTCAGTGGGAAGAATGCCCCTTACATTGGGGGTCAGTGGGAAGAATGCCCCTTACATTGGGGGTCAGTGGGAAGAATGCCCCTTACATTGGGGGTCAGTGGGAAGAATGCCCCTTACATTGGGGGTCAGTGGGAAGAATGCCCCTTACATTGGGGGTCAGTGGGAAGAATGCCCCTTACATTGGGGGTCAGTGGGAAGAATGCCCCTTACATTGGGGGTCAGTGGGAAGAATGCCCCTTACATTGGGGGTCAGTGGGAAGAATGCCCCTTACATTGGGGGTCAGTGGGAAGAATGCTCCTTACATTGGGGGGTCAGTGAGGAGAATGTCCCTTAGGTGGAAAATAGATCCAGCACTCCTCACAGGAATCCCTATCATCCTCTGCAGGAACCTCAATGTTCCACGGAACCCTGGGTGAGAATGGCTGAAGTAAACACACGGAAGATGGAATATTATTCCTGAGCTCAGATCTCACCTGGATCAGTGTCTGCGCCTCCTGGAGCCTCACAAGCAGTGCGCGGGATGAATGGGGAGTTGGTCCTCTGGTGGCATCTTATAGCTCCTGAACTAGTTGTATATAAACGGATGAGTATTAATAAAATGACTTCTATACATATAATTAGATAAAATATCAGGAAATTAAATCCACAAATAGGGAAAGAATGTCAGATGCCGTCTACATGCTCCGGGTACGCACAATTCCTCAGTACACAGGCATGCCAGGCTTACCATAAAAGTGGTACCCAACACCCA